GGAATGTGACCGCCGCCCCGGCCCGTCCCTCCGGCCTCTCTCTCCCCTCTTCCGGGGTTCCTTCGGGGTCCTCCTGCCCTGCAGCGCTCCCCGGATCCTGCCCCCCTCAGGCTGCCGGAGCGGGCGGGTGGGACCCCTGCCAGGTCTGCCGTGCTACCAGACCCAGCCCTCCTCCTCTCCAGCCTCGGCCTGGCCCCGCGAAGGACCCCCCTCCTGCTCCACCCCGCCGCCCTCCCTCTTCCCTTCTCCATCCCAATTCCATACACCGTGCAGACCGGCTGGGACAAGAAACATTTAATTAGGGGTCTGGGGGCCCAGCAACGCCCCGGCAGACCTCTCATGCAGCCTCATGTACAGTGGGCATTGGGCCCGCCCCGGGGATATTGCTGGGGGGGGCCTCGTGGCAGCAAACAGGGCAGTGTGGCTTGAGCCCCCCTCTGCGGGGGAGAAGGGGGGCAGGGGCCTTTGGGTAGGAGGATGTGTGTCCCTCCAGTGTCCAGGAGGGTGTGACTGTGCCCAGGATGGGGGGTTGGCATTGGCTGGCACGATCAAGGGCACAGGAGGAGGCTCTGAGCTTGGGGGTCCGGGGTTTGGCACCAGAGAAAAGCAGCCTGCAAGGGAGGGGTCCTCTTCGTGTGTGCCCACGCACGCCCAGGGTTGCCCCCTCCTTTCCTGGTGTCCAAGCAGAGCCTTCCACTTCCTCAACTCTTCCGCCCCCTCCTCTTCTCAGGGCTCGGTGTCCCGGGCATGGGAGCAGACACAGCGTGGAGAGAGACTCTGAAGAGGGTCCGCTCTGGGCCGCTGGGGCAGGATTTGGCAATCACAGGTTTCACTGGCTGGTTGACCCTGGGCACTTGGAGTCCTGATGATACAGTGGAATTCTTCTTCTTCTTCTTTTTTTTTTTTTTTTTGAGTTGGAGTCAGCCTGTCACCCAGGCTGGAGTGCAGTGGCACGCTCACAGCCACCGCAGCCTTGACCTGCTGGGCTCAGGCAATCCTTCTGCCTCAGCCTTCCAAGTGGCTGGAACTACAGGTGTGTGCCACCATGCCTGGCTGATTTTTCTAATTTATTGTAGAGACAAGGTCTTGCCATGTTGCCCAGGCGGGTCTCGAACCCCCGAGCTCAGGTAATCCTCTCGCTTTCACCTCCCAAAGTACTAGGATTACAGGCATGAGCTACCACACCTGGCTTGAAGTGAAATTCTTTTGACCAGACTGCTGGGCTTCTGTGTCCAGACTGCTCTTGGGCATTCTTTTCTGGTGGGCAAGGGTGGGGTGAGGCTGCTCTGTAGTGAATGTTCTACTTGATGGGTCAATCTCTGACATGTCCCACCCTCCGATAACCTCAGCCCTCCCCTCCTCTGTCGGCCCAGGTTTCAAGTAGTAGGAGAAATTCCCGCAGAACTTTCCTGAGAATTGACAGAGTGACAGAGGTGGTGAGGCCAGGAGACAGACTCAGGACCCTCCCACGGCCCTGAACCCCTCCCATCCCAGGGGGCTGAGGAACACAGAGGGTCCCCTCCCAAGGCCCCACGTGCATAGGGACAGGCGCGTGGTCGCACACACATAGACCCAAGCAGAGGTTCTGTGGGGGGAGGGGTGTGTCAGGCATGCACAGGTGTGTGGGCCGAGGAAGGTGCTGGAAAAAGCAGCAGGAAAGTTCCCCAGGGGCCCTCCCAGGACTGGGGGGACCTGGGCATGGAGGGGACTTGCCTGCAGCTTCCTCATTCCCTCCCGCTTTCTCCTGCCCCCACCCCAAACCCCAGAGGATCAGCCCACTTGGGGCACCCCACCCAAGAAATAAGATCTTCCTGGGAGCAGAAGGCTCCTAAGCCATGGTGAGCGGCCCCTAGGAGAGAGGCAGTGGGAGGGAGGGTGTGACAAGGGGGCCTGCTCTCCTCCAGTGCCAGAAACAGGGGCTGGGCATGGGCAGGGTGGCATCCAGGTTCTCTCTGCTCCTCTCAGATCTCGGTCAGGGCGTCGGCTGGCACCAGGCCCCGCTTCTTGCCGCTGCTGACGCGGATGAAGCCGTCAGCATCCTTGCTTCTGCCCACGCCTACACAGATCTGAGCCAGAGAGACACGGAGCTGGCGCTGGTCCCAAGACCCACCGACGGCCCCCAGGGGACCCAGCCCTGGGGATGATGGGACCAGTGTCAGATAGGGATGGAGCTTTTCACTGGGGGGAGCAGATGCCCTGAGGGTACAGGGCTCAGCAGCAAGGCCAGGACACCAGTAGACACCAAGTAACCCTTCAGGGCCGGCTGCTGAGATAGGCTGGTCTGGTGCCCTGTCCCGCTCCCAGTGCACAGAAGGAGGTAAGAGAGGAAAAGGACTTGTCCCAGGCTACACGACAGGCCACAGCCAGCATTCAAATCTGAGCCTCTATGCTCCTAATTCAGTACTCCTGCCCTCAACTGTCAAGCTGCCTCAAACATCATCTGTTCCCTAGTCTGTTGGCCACCAGCCCAAACTGCCCCGATGGGATGACGGGAGGGCCCTGTTGTCCCATCACTCTAACCTGCTCCCATCCTGCCACCAGGCCCCAGCATCCTGGAGGCCGCTTGCCCCGCCCTGGTCGCCCTTTCCCCACGCGGCCCTCTCTCTCCAGCCAGGCCCTGGGCTCTCACCTGGTTCTCCTTGAGGGTCATGTAGCCCTGCTCCTTGTTCCCAGAGAAGGGCTGGCAGCAGCGCCACACACTCTCGCCTGGCCTCACCCGCTGCACAAAATTGGCTGGGAAGAAGCCAACCCGGTCGCCGATCTTGCCCTGGGAACGAGGCTGGCAGTGAGCACAGCGCCACCCCCAGCCCCCCACCCCCGCCTTCTCCAGACCCAATTCCCACTCAAAGTCAAAACCATGGCCTTCCAGAGCCTGAGAGTCCAGAGCCTGGACTCCAGCCCCGTGCTGGTCGGCCTCCAGGCGGGGAGGGAGGCTGGGAGAGGCCCACTGAGGACAAGACCCATGTGGTCCTAGGCATGGCTAGAGCCCGCAGTTGGAGGGGAGGTCTTTGGGGACTGAAGGTGGGGGCAGCGTCGACTGAGGTGGGGGCTGCTGACGTGCCCACCAGTTTCCCTCCCACCCCACCCTGCCAAGTCACCTTCCACCAGTCCTCGTTAGAGTCATCCACCAGCATGATCCGATCTCCAGGCCTGGGTGGGGAGGGAGCTGAGGCAGCATATGGGACAGAAGGCCCTGTCCCCTCCCAACCCAGTAGTCCTTGGGCATCTTGTTACCCTGCAATCCTCAGCTGGGAGAAGATTTTTTTTTTATGTTGGGAGGTCTCAATCTGCCGCCCAGATTGGAGTGCAGTAGCACCATCACAGCTCGCTGCAGCCTTGACTGTCAGGGCTCAGGTAATCCTTCTGCCTCAGCCTCCCAAGTAGCTGGGACTACAGATGCATACCACACCTGGCTAATTTTTTTATTTTTTGCAGAGACGAGGTCTCACTAAGTTGCCTAGGCTGGTCTCGAACTCCTGGGCTCAAGTAGTCCTCCTGCCTCAGCCTCCTAAAGTGCTGGAATTATAGGCATGAGCTACCTTGCCTGGTGGAAGAGGATTCTTGATGCCCTTGGAGAACACTGTGACCACAGTTACAACAGGCACTCTTTGGTGTTACAAGCACACGCCACCACACCCAGTTAATTTTTAAGTTTTTGTACAGGTGAGGTCTCACTATGTTGCCCAGGCTGGTCTCGAACCCCTGGGTTCAGGCAGTCCTCCCACCTCGGCCTCCCAAAGTGCTGGGATTATAGGCATGAGCCACTGCTCCCAGCCTAGCATGAATCACTCTTAGACCCTGGGTAGCTCCAGCTCCTGTCTGGCTCAGCAGCCTCAAGCAAGCAAGAAAAAGGTTCCTGAAGGTTCCCTCATGCTGTGTTCCAAGGTCTGAGGCTGGAGCCAGGCAGCTGCCCAGCAGGACTGGGTCACAGTGGGGACTTACTGCAGAGCCAGGTCATTGTTCTCCTGGGGCAAAAACTTGTAGAGAGCAACGTAGGAGTACATGGGCCCCAAGTCCTTCCGCAGGAGGTGCCTGGGGGCCTATGGGAAAAGCTCTGGTTGGTGATGGGAGGGCGACACCCTCACTCCCCCCACTACCACTTGCTCTGAGCGTGGGGGTCACTGATACCCCTCCCCCAGACCCCCTCGGTGCCCACATACCAGGGGCAGGACACAGTGGTCCTGCGACAATGACAGAGAGAAGTAAGACCCTCCTGCCAGCTATGCTCACCCACCCCTAGGGGCCTGGGCAAGGCATGAGGAGGGAGACACACACACACACACACACACACACACACACACACACACACACACCCCTCCCCCCCCCCACCTGCTGCACCTGGGAATGCCTACCCTTGGGGAGCCGGTGAGGGGACAAGAGGTGGGACCACTGGTGGGAGGGGCCCCCTCCGCCTCCCACGCCCTCTCACCCTGTCCCGCCTGGGGGCCTGGGACAAGCTAGAGAGCAGTGGGGCCCCATTCGCGGTGTTCTCACCCACCCGTGGATCGACGACAGGGGGAAGCCATGTCCCTCCCCCCGGCCGCCTTGGTGCCAGCTGGGCTCACCTGCTGTCCAGGGCTCTTCTCTGGTCCGCACCCTTCGCTATCGGCTGGGGCCACGAACACGGGAGACGCTGGGGGAGGCAGGGTGTGAGGCGGCGGGGTGCCCCCTTCTGGCCCCACGCCCGCCCCAGGCTCCCGCCTGGGCTCACCGCTGTCACCAGGCCCCTCCTCAGAGCTGCGGATGCTGCCCTCCCCATCCTCGGTTAGCTCATCCCGCTCGCTCTGGGGACAGAGAGGGGAGGGCTCGGCCCGGACCCACTGTCACGCGGACACCCGTCCCCCAGGCCCCCTCGGTGCCCACATACCAGGCTCCGGGTGGGGGACTCCGAGGTGCTGCTGAAGCTGGAGCGATTCATCAGTGCCAGGGAGGTGCCGTAGCGCAGGGTCTCGTACACGGGGTCCACCTTCATGCCGGCCCCTGCCGAGTGTCCGCCCTCAAGGCCTGGCGTCCGTCTGCAGGCCTAGCTCTGCCCTGACGCCCTGTCTCCAGGCCCGGCTCACACGCCCCAGGCTGAACTCCCCGTCTGTCCCTCACCTTCCCCCACCCAGGTCTTCCTCATCCCAGGGACAGCTCCTCATCCTCCTGCAGTGCCTGGGCAGAAACCGGGGTCGTCCCTGACTCCCGGCGTCCTCACTGCCTGCAGCTGCTCCATCACTTAGTCCCGTGTCCCGACAATCCTGGACTCTGCCCACGTCTCTCTTGCCCCTCCTCTCTCCCTGCCCACTGCTGGGTCAAGCCACCAACCTCTCTCTCGACAACTGTCGAGGTCTCCCCGTTGGCCTCCCTGCCTCCACTCAGCCTGCCAGTCCACACAGCAGTCTGAGTGCGCTTTAGACACACACAACTTGCCCTTAGCATAACCCAAGGCTGCACACCCGTGGTCTCCTCATACCTGCTCCCTCCTGCTCCCTCAGCCCCAAACATTTTTTTCCTTTCTTTAACTCCCTGCCGCTGCCTGCTCAGGTCCCCCGCTGCCCGCATGAGTCTGCCCATACCCTCAGAAGATGAAACCCTCACTCCTCATCCTTCCTGTCTCTAGGAAGTCTTCCTGACTGCACAGATGAGGACAGCACGCATTTTTAAAGAAAATGTTCAGAGTTGGGTGTGGTGGCTCATGCCTGCAATATCAGCACTTTGGGAGACAGAGGTGGGAGGACTGCCTGAGCCCAGGGGCTTGAGACCCTCCTGGGCAACTTGGCAAGACCTTATCTGTACAATAAACCAAAAGACTAGCCAGGCGTGGTGGCACACATCTGTGGTTCCAGCAACTTGGAAGGCTGAGGCAGAAGGATCACTTGAGCCCAGAAGGTCGAGGCTGCAGTGACCATGAGCATGCCACTGCACTCCAGCCTGGGTGACAGAGTGAGACTCTGAATTCAAATTTTTTTTTGCAGAGACAGGGTCTTAATCTGTTGCCCTGGCTGGACTCTAACTCTTGGTCTCAAGCGATTCTCCTTCCTCAGACTCTTGAGTAGCTGGGACTATGGCACATGCCATCACTCCTGGCTTATAGCACACGTTTCATATTCCTTATCCTTCCCATTTGAGACACTCATCCTAGTGGTCATTGACTGAGGATTTGTGTGACTGCCCATTTCAGGTCTATTTCCTTTGCTAGACCATGCACTCTACCCCCTTCAATGCTGTCTAGGGCTTCTCACAGCAGAGCACTTAGCTGGTGCTCCATAAAGTGTTTTGTTTGTTTGTTTTTTGTTTTTCTCGAGTTGGAGTCTCACTCCTATCGTCCAGGCTAGAGTGCAGTGGCATGCTTACAGCCACTGCAGCCTCGACCTGCTGGGCTCCGGCAGTCCTTCCACCCCAGCCTTCCAAGTAGCTGGAACTACAAGCGCATGCCACCGAGCTAGGCTAGTATTTTTGTGATTTATTGTAGAGACGAGGTCTCACCAAGTTGCCCAGGCTGGTCTTGAACCCCCGGGCTCAAGCAATCCTCTTGCCTTGGCCGCCCAAAGTGCTGGGATTATAGGCTGAGCCACTGTGCCTGGCCTCCATAAAGTGTTTGTTGAAGGAAGGATGGATGAATGGATGAATGTATGAATGAATGAATGAATGAATGAACCCTACATTCAGGACAGGAGCATCCAGAGAAGGGAAGTGGTAAGAGCACCAAGAACTGGCAGTGCCAGTGTGACTCAGGTGGCCATCTGAGGAGTGTGTGATTTCTCATCGCGCCACAGTGGGAGCAGGAACAGCAGAGAGACACTCACCGGTGGGTGGGGACTCTCTGCTTGTGGCACAGGCGGGTGGTGACTCGTGCACCAGGAGGGGCGAGCTGAAGTTGCGGCGGAAGGACGTGGACTGTGGCAAGAGAGGCAGAGAAAGGGAGGCAGAGGTCACAGCCCATCCAGGACCAGCCACCTCCCAGGAGGAGCCAGCCTGGAGGGGCCTGCTTCCCCCAGCCGTGACCATCCTGGGCCCCACCTGCCTCCGCCCCGCTCACCTTGCCTGGGCATTGCTGGTGGGAGATCTCCTCAGAGCACCAGAGGTGGACGCTGACTTTGCACGTCTTACAGCGCAAGCCCTGCTTGGAGTTTCCTGAGAAGTGTGGATCCAACAAGAAAGGATGCCCCCGTGGGCAAGGAGCGAAAGAGGCAGGTATGGGCAGTGAGGGAGCAGGGGTCAGCATTCTCGTGCCAGCCTGGGGGCCCAGCACCTACCCTTCCAGCCAGGGTGTGAGGTGGCCCTGAGCCAGAGTCACCAGCGAACACAGCAGCAGCAGCCCTGGGCCACCCCCACCCAAGGGTGCTTGTTCCTCTGCCCGGGGGGAGAGGAACAGTTAGTCCTGAAGACCCCAGAGAGCAGGAGGCCCATGCCAGGTAGCTCTGGGGGCCCACTCCCCGATGTCCACCCAGGGGCCCCTCCCCAGTGCCCACCCAGGGGTCCACTCCCCAGTGCCCACCCAGACCCCCCTTGCCCACCTTGGGGCCTGGGCACCTACCTACAATGAACTGATGGCACAGCTCACAAGGGCTGGCACGCTTGAACACATGCTCCTGGAAGCTGTGCAGCCTCACTGGTTTGAGTGGCGCCAGAGGGCGCGGGTTTGGGCAAGGGGAGGGTGCTGGGGTGTGCAGGCCCCTGTCAGAGGATACGGGTGGTGGGGAGGGAGGGGGCAGGGGTGTGGGGGGTGTCAGCAGCACCTCGGTCGGGCACTTGAGCTCAGAGCCCGAGCGAAGGAAGTTCTCCACGCTCTTACTTCGCAGGATGGTCTTGAGGGAGAGTGAGCGCTTGAACCGCTGGAGCTGAGAGGAAGAGGGAGCCGTGAGTGGGAGCCTACGGGGAGGAGGATGCCAGGGGAAGAGGGTTGTCCATGGCAAGCTTCCCTCCAGGATGTCTCTGGTCATGGGGGTTGAGGACCGGAGCCCAGAGGAGGTATTTTATTTATTTTTCGTAAGGACGAGGTCTCACTATGTTGCCCAGGCTCATCTCGAACTCCTGGTCTCAAGCAGTTCTCTCGCTTCAGCCTCCCAAAGTGTTGGGATTATAGGCGTGAGTCACGCACCTGGCTCAGATGAGGTATTAAGGAGAGGCTTCTGAGCTCCAGATAGTGGGTTGCAATCTCAGACACCTACAAGAGCCAGGTGGGTAGCCTCCTTGAGAAAGTTCTGTCTGGACAAGCAGTTAGGAGTGGTGGGGACTGTGGGTAACTGGATGGCCAGGGAGCAGCCGCTGATACTCGAGCTCACTGAGGCTGGTCTATGAGGGTAGCCCTGAGCTGCCAGGTTTCCCCATTTTTCAAAAGGCATCTAGATTTGTACGTGAAATTGAATAGAAACATATTTAAGAGGCTTTATTTCCTACTTTCTCTGCAGAAGTGGTAGTATACTATTTTTCCTGCACTTTGCTTTTTTTCACTTAACAATAAATCTTAGAAATCATTCCATACCGATACATAAAGAGTTTCATCTTTCTTTTTTATGGCTACAAAGTATTTCATTATATGGGTGTGCCATTGACTCAAGTTTTTGAAAACGACACTTCGGGGGCCAGATACCCGTTCCTCAGTTTGCCCCCATGTTCTCAAACAGGCTGAGCGGAGTGGGAAGTAGCCACCCTGCACCCTCATCCTCGGGGCTGTCTCTCCTCCGGGGCATCCCTCCATTACCTCTGCAGCCCTGCCATCACTCAGGCCCCAGTGGTGCCAGTCTGGTCACAAGGCCACAGCCCCTTGCCTCCACCTGGCCCATGCCCGCTCACCCTCCACACAGCTGTCAGACTGGGGAGCCCTAATCCTGCCACCACCTTTCGTGGCTTCTCAGGACATAGTCCAAGGCCCTCGCCCCAGCCATGAGAGTCTTCTTGCAACTTGGCCAAGTCTGTCCTTCCAGTCCGGGCCCTCTGCCTGCAGCCCAGAGATGTGGATTTTGAACTCATGCATGCTTTTGTGCCTCTGAGCTTTTGATGTGTTTGTCTTCTCTGCCTTACCCAACTTTTATATATATATATATATAGTTTTTGTTTGTTTGTTAGAGTCAGGGTCTTACTCTGTTGCCCAGGCAGGAGTGCAGTGACACGGTAATAGCTCACAGCAGCCTTGACCTCCTGGGCCCAGGTGATCCTCCTACCTCAGCCTCCCAAGTAGCTGGGACAACAGGCGCACGCCCACGTGCCTGGCTTATTTTTTTATTTTCTGTAGAGACAAGGTCTCGCTATTCTGCCCAGGCTGGTGTCTGACTGCTGGGTTCAAGCAATCTTCCCGCCTTTCCTCCCAACGTGTTGGAATCGGCCGGGCTCGGTGGCTCAGCCTGTAATCCCAGCACTTTGGGAGGCTGAGGCGAGTGGA